GCGCGGGCGGCAGGCGCAGGCGCGGGCGAGGGTCGGGCGGGGGGCGGAGCCGAGAGCGGCGCCCGGGTTTGTCCGTCCGGTGGGGGGGGCGGGGCGGGGCGGGGCGGGGTGGATCGGGTCGCCGCTCATAGCGAACGCCACACACACACTCACTCACACACACTCACTCAAAAAAGAGGGAGTTTTGTTGTAAAATTCTTTTTTCGTGTGCCTGTGATAGTGCTAGCACGCGCCAGTTCGCACCTGAGAGAGATTTTTGAAATCTCTTCTTCTCGCACCTGTGTCGAGCCTGTCTGCTGAGAGAGAGATTTTAAGCAATACCAAACAACTCTAACACTCACACGTCATGTGTTGTTTTGTCTGCTGTGAGAGAGATTTAGTGTGTCTCGCGATTTATTTTTTAAATTCGTTTTTGCACAACACTGGTGTACCTGTGTTAGTGCCAGTGCGCGCCAGTCCCGTGCCCAGTGTTGTGCGAGGGAGTTTTGTGGCAAAATTCTTTTTTGAGAGCGCCTTCGTTGTTAATAGTACAAACCCAATGGTCCCTTGCGAGTGGTCCCTTGTCGCAGTCACACACACGCACACGCCGCATCACACCGCGCGCCCGCCCGCCGCCCCGCCCAGGCGCGAAAGAGATGAGGAGATGGGACAGCAAAGGAGGAGGCACAAACACGTATGGGAGGGTTCAGTTGTGCGTCACGCTGCCCGGCGTTTCTCACTTTCCGGGACAGCCCCGCCCTTTCGAGGCAGGAGAGTGTGACGACTACCCCGTACGCCCTGTGCTTCTACCCCGACGCCGACCGCCCACCGCGACGTCGTTCTTTTTTCGCCACACCGCCGTGGCGTGGCAGACGGTGAACGAGCTAGCGTGCGGGGACAGCGGCATTGTGCACGGTGCTAAGTGCATTGCCGCTCTTAACGGAGTCGCTTAGGCGGCTCCGGTGTGATTTTTTGTGAGAGAGGTTTGTTTAAATTCTTTTTTCGCTTTCAAGCAAGGACGACTACTCTGCGTATGCTGTGCCGACAGCCCACCGCGTCCTCTGCCGCCCTGTTCGGCCTCGAGGCCGGCCTTTCTGTGATGTCGCGCACCTGGGTGAACTTCTCACCGGCGAACTCGCTCGCGTACAAAAAAGGCTGCGAGTCTTTTGACCGGACGCACGAGTGCGACGATCATCACCGTGTCGGCGTGCGCTGTTCTGATTGCGGTGTCGGCTAGGAGGGCGATAGAGGAGGCGGCGGTGGCGGTGAGGGAGGCAGCACGGATGGCGGCGGCGGCAGCAAGAATGGCTGAGGCAGCGGAGGAGCGCACCGGCGAAACAGCCCCTGTCCGGTGCGAGCTGGCCGTGCTGGCGTGCAGCCCTCGCAGGGCGCCACTTGACAACGTAGTGCTCGAGGGGCTCGAGGCGTCTCTCCACCTGCCTGCATCGGTCCTTTGCGACGGGACCTTCAACGACCTGCGCCGTCTGCTTGGACGCCGTGCGACGCAGCGCTTCCTCTTCGCGGGGCATGCCAACGCTCGCTTCGGTTCGGCTCGCCTCACCCTTGGTCTCACCACCGCCGACGGACGCCTCGCGCCGCCGCCGCCGCTCGCCATCGCCACGCTGCTCGGCCGGCAGTGTCTTCTTGCCTCACCCGTCCTGCTTCCTACTCGGCCATTAACCCCCACCCTGCGCAATAGGCACTCGCCGCGCCACGGCGGCGCCCTCGAGTTTGTCATGTACAACGGCTGCAAGTCGGAGCGGATCGCGCTCCTCACCCTCCTCTCGGGCGTCGACTATGTCTGCTACTGGCGCACGCTCGTCGAGACGACGGCTGCGCGCTTTCTGTGCGCGGCGCTCTTCGAGGCCGTCGCGGCTCGCCGCCATCGAGCGGGCAGGCCCTGCTATCAGTGGGCGTTCGACGAAGCGTGCGGGGCCCTCGTCGGCGAGCCGCGCCCACGCACGGTGCAATGGGCCGACGCGCCCAATGCTGACCTGCCGATGCGCTGGGAGATGCGCGACCCGGAAGAAGGCCCGCAGCTGGGCCGCTATCCACTTCCCGCAGGAGTCCCCGTGCTGCTCACGCCTCGCGACCGGAAGGAGGCCGCCCGCACTCTCCTCCGGGCGGCGATGCTGCCGCGCATCGCACTGCGCGCGTGGGTTTGCCGCGCGCGGGAAAGGCGTGCGCTCCGGATTCGGACACGGAGCGAGCTGTTGATGACGCTTGCGCGCCGCCAGATCCCCCACGACGCGGTGCTCATCATCATGCAAATGGCAGGTCAGCCGTGAAGAAGCTCCGATATCCCCCCGCTGCGGCGCCGCTATCCGCCAAGCTGAGGCTGAGCGCGGCCCTGTATTGTGCGCTCCCCACACACCACACATGCAAAATAATGGACAATCATGGGGATGAGAGCTTGGCGCCTGCCACGTATGCACGCGCGCCGGTTATGCGCTGCGACGGCGAGCCATCCCGCGTTGAGGTTGAGCGCACGCAAGCGCTAGTGCATAGTCTGCTGTACATGTCTGTGCAGTATCTGGAGGCGCCGGACCCACATGTCCTGCGAGGAGGCGCCGCACCTGTGCCGAGTGAGGAGTGTTGCTCGAGGAGTGTTGTGCGAGGGAGTTTTGTTGTAAAATTTATTTTTCGCGCCGGAGGGGGAGTTGTGTGACAACTGCTCCTGTGCCGCCGCGAATTCTTTTTTCGCTATCACCGCCCGGGACATGGCTCTGACCGAAGAAGTTTTGGCCGACCCTGAGCTCGGCATCGAGGAGGAGAAGCTGGAGCGGTGGTGCAGGCGCCATGGCGGCGCCCTCGAGTCGGTCCTCACGAGCGGCGCCATCGCCCTCGTTGACGCGCGGTGGATCGTCGACTTCGCCGGCGCGGGCGGCGTCCTCACCCACCGCCAGGCGCTGCCCGACGAGGCCTTCATCTCGCTCGCCCGCCTCGTCGACGCGACCATTCCGTACGGTGGGCTTCCCGTCGCCGCGCTCTCGTACCCGTGGCTGACCAAGGAGCACCCCGACCCGCTCGGAGCCAACCTCCGCCGCGTCGCAAGGGCGCTGAAGGCCCTGTTGCGCCATCCGGAGCACGGCAGGCTGCGGCTCGGCGTGTTTTGGGACTTCCTCTCGCTGCACCAGCACCCCGACCCCGCCAACGGCGTCATGCGCACCGAGGAGCAGAACGCGCTCTTCAAGCAGGGGTTGGGCTGCCTTGGCACGCTCTACTCCCACCAGCACACGACCGTGCTGCGGCTCACCTCCTTCCCGGCGGGCCACAATAGCAGCTGCTTCTCGCCGTTGGTGGCCTGGGTCACGGGCACCAACGTGGCCGAGTACTTTGACCGCGGCTGGTGCTACACGGAGAACGCCTGGGCGAGCCTCACCAAGGACGGGAAGAAGTCGCTCGACCTCGGCCTGATGCGTGACGATAAGGAGTACTGGTGCTGCTTCTCCCTGATCAACGAGTGCGTCAAGGGCGGCGGCCGGCGCCCTCCGCTGCTGCCTTCTCAGTTTGCGGCGGAGCTGGAGACGAAGAGCTTCACCAACGGCAAGGACGACAAGCCGCTCGTGAAGCGGCTGTACGAGGCCGCCTTCGAGGAGCAGTTTGGGCAGACCAAGT